GATGTTTTTAAGTATTGTGCTCTGTATTTATGCAATAAGGTTGTTAGTGCAGACTTAATATAGGTCAGACTAGGAGTGACCAAGATCCAGTCTGCAGAACCATGTCATCCAGCCCTCAGGGCTCCCCAGAGGTTCAGAAATTTCATGGCAAGGGAGCAGCAGCAGTTAATTGCTGCAAACTCTGGAGGCATGGCAATTAAAGGTGCTACTGCTCATCCTATTTCCAAATTTCTGGCCCCTGGGGTGCCTATACACATACTTTGGTGGGTGGGGGGGGAGGGGCATTACAATTACAGAGGCTCTCTGGAGCTGCTCTGTGACAGCATTTTCATGTATTCAGGGGGTGCTTTAACTAAATCTTGCACAATGAGGTTTAGTTAAAGTGCCCCCACTGCCATTCTGAAATGTGGGGCACTGAACACACTAGATGCTGCAGCATGCTAGAGCATTCCAACTGGAACGTTCCAGCAGACTGAAGTGAGTTTGCTCCGATGCATTCTAATCAGAATGTGTTGGGAGCAGGTGTATAGGCACCAATGGAGACTCATGTGGATGAGGGCCAGATGAATTAGACACCGCTGGGTGCCAAACACCTGTATGGAACAGACTTTCTGAGGGGACTGGACTAGGATCAAGGGTGCTCAACCCCTAATCCATGGGGCAGAGCCACTTCCCAGCACTGTGTCATCTGGCCCAAAATACTCCTTACAGGTCCAGAAACATGGCAAGGGAATGGTGGCACTGCTCCCCTGATGTTACATTTCTGGGCCTGTGGAGAGCCTGGGCCATGTGCACCAGACTGGGCAGCCAATCCCAGTGCATGGTGCTACGCAGGTGCAGCTCCAATCCCTAGGCCCAATCCCAGTACCTGGACTAGAAGGGGATGGTGCTGGGTCCCAAGGCCTGATCCCAGCATGTGGGGAGGGGGGGCAGCCAAGGCCCTACAAAGTCCATTCCTAGCACATGGGACTTGATCCAACCCATGGACAGGCCCTGCAGGGCCAAAAACTTGAGCACCATTGGATTAAACAACCTCCGGAAATCCTCTCTGCCTCCATCTTTTTTATTCTATGATCTTTTAGTCAGTCACTGACACTGTTTCGAATGCTGTGTAGCAGGTCATTAGGGATCCACATCATGAATATGGATCAAACCTGCACAGATTAAAAACCAATCTAAGGTACAAACAAATTGAATCACGTACACACGCAATACATAAACCCAACATCTGTGAAAGTTTCTAAATATAAAAACTGCAAAAGTAATAGTTCTAAACCTGAATTGTTAAAAGGCAGACGAAAAGGAACTGAGTATAGGTAAATATACAAACTTTGTCTTCCACTGAATATTTGGGCATGGTAAACACAATGCTGCTACATTTTTCTGTATATTTCCTGAACTTGCACTCCTGACTCAAACACTTCCAAAGACTAGGAATCTGCAACAGCAATTCTTGATAGTGACACCAATTTTCTTAAGCGAAAGAAGAAAAGAAAAGAAAAGATCCAGACAGGGACACAAAACTAGTTCTTTCAGACTTGTACTGGTAGAAGGGAAAAGAATAATGGAAACAAACAAATCTCTAGATAATAGAGCCGACGCTAAGGACCATAGAAAAAAGACGTTAGAAACTGAATTTTCTGATCTACAAAGAACTCTCACTAAATGGGAACAGGCTTTGGAGTAGTAGCATGAGTTATAAGAAAACACTAGTAAATTCTTATAGCATAAGTAATATTTTATGTAGGATATATATATATATATAGCAAAACATTTTATGTAAGCTGATCATATCCTAGCTCAAAATTAAACCAAGTCCCAAATTCCTTTAATAAAATAATTGCACTACTGTAAATTTTAATAAGTGGCTTATATGGTGCAAAGCATTCCGAACCATCATCTAAGTTACATTGGTTAAAATCCAGAATAAATTATTCACTATGCCAGTGGACTTCAGGTCTTAAGAATTACTTTTCCATTTAAAATAATTCCAATCCCTTATGATTAACGAAAGGTTTTAGAAAATAGAATTCAACAGCGTGAAAAGCACCAGCTTACAACCTTGTATCCACTAACAAAATAGATACAAACAGCCTTAGAGCAAGACAGTTTTCCACGTACAAACTCTGACATGGAGAGATGATGGGGCAGTCAGTTTTCCACATCCAATAAAGTCTTCGGCTTTTGAGACTGCAAACAGGGATGTCACTTAAAACCAAAACCAAAAATAAAAACCCACACAAAACTTGTTTACTTGGAACTACCAGCTTATGTATAGGGCCTAAATACTTCACAGATAAGTCTGTAACATACTCCAGAAAAATTATTGCGGTGTTTGCTAATTGTCATTAGAAACTGGTGAAGGCAATTTTAACTTGGGGGAACATCTGTTCACCAGAGCGCCCCAAGGGATGACAAAATCAAATGGTCACAAACTTCTCTGCGACCGTTTCAGGCTGGACATAAGGAAGAACTTCTCTCCTGTTGGAGCCCCCAAGGTTTGGAATGGACTGCTGCCGGAGGTGGTTCAAACACCCACTTTGAATGCCTTCAAGACACTTTTGGATGCTTCTCTTGCTGGGATCCTATGATCCCTGCTGATTTCCTGTCCCTGGGCAGGGGGCTGGACTCTATGATCCTCTGGGGTCCCTTCCAGCTCGAATGTCTATGAAATCTATGAGACTTACGTTTAGTTCCCAATGGCATTCAATTCTCTCTAAAATATAAGACTATTTTACCAACAAAAACTTGGTGTGGATAAATAAACATTACTAGTTGGTTTATAAATCATATGTGGAGCCATATAATGCCTTATAAAACTTTTATTCATAAATTAGAAAGTAAAACAAAGATTAGGAATGCACTAAATAAAGATTATTTTGGCTCATACTGATGGCCAATTATTAACCATCCATATCGGCTGATACCAATCTGATGACCAATATGCAGCCTGGCAGCTTGGAGAGCAGCGTCTGGCTGTTAAGTCGGTGGGGGGAGCAGATTGAGGCCCCCATGGTGATGGAGGGAATGGGGCAGGGGCAGGCACTACCAAGCTGGGGTTGGGTGGGGAACAGGGTGGAGAGCTTCCCATTGCTAAGCACACCTCTGGGGGAGGTATGAGAGGCACGTACCGCCCAGATTTGTGCACAGGGCGAAGGCAGGCTGTCTGCTGCAGGCTTGGGGCCAGGGCTGCATCAGCCTCTTCCCAGAGGGAGGGCTGGGCTGGGCAGGGCAGAACCTGACCCTGCCCAATCCCTCCATCAATGTGGGGGCCTCAATCTGCCCCCTCCCCACACCCTTACCTCCTACAGACTTACTGGCTAGACACTAATTTTTCAAGATGCCAGGCTGCATTCCTGGTTGCGTGCATGCTGTGGCTGTGTGCATGCATGCATCATTTATCGGTGACATTATCGGCTATGTCGGCCAAAAAAAGACAATTGCTGATAATGGCAATTTTCCTTTTATCAGTGCCAATCCAATATGGACCAATATATCAGTGCACCTCTAACAAAGATACATGTATGATGCATATAAATCATGGCACTGTCCATTTTAGTCAAATGCACTTTCCACTAGATTTAGAATGGTGTGCTGTACTTTTTGGGAGAACTAGGGTGTTTTGATCTGTTTTCTGGAGATATTGTAAGAGGCAGAACCATAGTGCAACTAAAATGGGACTGATTAAAGAGAAATATATTGTTTGTCCACAAATGATTCAACACTGGGCATGTCTACATGTTCATTAATGTGCCATAATTATGGTGCATTAAATTAGTACAGTAAAAGCTTTGTTATCTGACATGAGTGGGATAAGAGGGATACCGGTTATATAAAAATTCTGTTTACTTGAGGGCAGGGGTTTTTGGGATGGACACACGGCGGGGGATGGGGCAGCGCACAGAGCAGCGGCAATGCAGAGTGGTGGGTAGCAGCAGCAAGGTTTCCACACCACGTGCCAGTTTTCCCCCCTGCTCCCCACCAGTCAGCCAGCCAGCTGGAAATTTTGATTAACAGCGTTCCAGTTACTTAAATACTGGTTAAACACAGCTTTTATTGTATCTGAAATAACACGTACTAACTTAATGTGCTGTAATCAGCGCTATTTTGCATTAGTGCAGATGAACACTGTGTGATGCTTAATGCCTACTGGTCTAATTTACTGTGCATTAGCACAGTTTTTGCCAGCCACGCTAATGCGCAGTAGAATTAGTTCAATGGGCATTAAGCATCTCATGTAGATGAACCTACAGAACATAAATCTTTCCTTTAGTTCAATGGTTACCTAGGATCTTATTAAAAACTGTAAAACAACTAGCAGAACAAAACCAGCCTCTAGGAGTACTGAGCTTTCAGTACTACCAAACCAGAAAAAAAACTCACATTAATATATTGTTCACATCTGAATACTATACCTTTGAGAGTTTTATATTATAAAACCTTATTTCTAAATCCAGTTATCTTTAAGAATTGTAAATGATATTGAATTAAAACAGTATTTACCTCTTCGTTCTTTTTCTGTACCCATTCCTTGTGTTTCTCTTCTGCAATCTTTTTTCTTCTTTCAAGTTCCTGCTTTTCTTTTCTTTTCTCCAGTTGTTGATTAATTTCCTAATTAAAGCAAAACGTATACAGCTCAGTTTGGTCGCTATTTGAAAATGAGTTACTTGAAATGCAC